TGTGTTGTGGGCAGCTTCCACAAAACTCCCCAAAAGTTCCTATTTAATTTCTTATGCCAACCTGTGATATATCGAAACCCCAATGGGGAAAGTTGAGATGTGGAAGGGATAACTGTACTTTGTAATTCTGAAAGCACCACATAAGCTAGGAGGCTAGGTGATGTAGTGGATAGAGTGCTGGGCCTGGAGTCAGGAAGATGAGTCTTCCTGAGTTCAAATCTGGCTTCAGACACTTATTAACTGTGTGAACCTGAAAAAAAAATCCCTTAACCACTGTTTGCCTCAGTTTCTCACCTGTGAAATGAGGGTAATAATAGCACCTGCTTTCCCAATGTTGTTGTAGGGATCAAATGAGATAATAATTATAAAGTACTTAGCACAATATCTGGCATATACTGGCATTGTATAAATGTTAGCTGTTATTATTATTCTTATTAGGGTTCCACAGAAGGACACTGGCACTATCCTTACCACAGCATCAGGGATATGGAGACTGTATGGGTAAGATAAAAGTTGAGTATTAGATAATAGGAATTCACTGTATGCCCATCTGTACATGCTGGTTAGTATGGGCCATTCTGGTACCTAGAGATAGCTTTGTTATACAGAACCTTTCTTACAAAGATGGTCATCATAATGTGTCCCCAAGTTTTCTTTTTTTTTTTAAATGTATTGGTGATTTTTGCTTTTTCTGCCCCTTTAACTTCCCAATAACTCTCCTCCCACACAGAGCCCTCCCTTGTGACAAAGAAAAATGGTTAAGCAAAATAAGCTTTTGCAGTCACCACGTCTGATGTTGCAGGCAGCATTCCACACCTGTAGTTCTCCTCTCTGCCTGAAGGAGAGAAGCGGGAACACTACTTTTCAAAACCCAAATTCCTACATTATTCTGTTTAAGTAATATTACAGGAATATTGTGTGATCATCCCCCTCCCCCCAGTTTAATTCTTAAGAGAGTGCAAATATTAAAAATCAAATTGCAAATCCATACAAAGCTTAGACCAATTACCTTACTAGTACCTTTAGGGTACTGAACACAATGGCCACAAGGAGTTCATTAATTCCGATTAAAGATGATGTGAAGGTAAGTGATTTGATATACCTCAGAATAAAATGGACACTGAACTTTCCAATAGCTATTGAATCTTTAATAATAGCACCAGGTGGTGCAATGGATAGAGCACTAGGCTTAGAGCCAGGAAGACCTGAGTTCAAAGCTAGTCTGAGATTCTTACCAGTTGGGTGACCTTGGGCAAGTCACTTAACCTCTGTCTGCCTCACTTTCTTCAACTATAAAATAGGGATCGTAATAATAGCACCTAATTCCCAGTATTGTTGCAAGGATCAGATGAGATATTTATAATGCACTTAGTATAGTACCTGGCACCATAGTAGGCTCTTCACAGATGCTTGTTTCCTTAATTACTTGGCCAATAAAGAGATTCTCTCTAAAAAGACCCTCAGCCACTACAAGACATATATTCCCTAAGAAAGTCAAGGTTAAAAAGGTGCCATATACTGCAAAATACTAGTAGCAACATGTTTTGTGGTAGCGAAAACAGGGAAACAAAATAGGTGCCTACCATGGTGGGAGGGGGCCCAAGGGCATGGAAGGATGCGTATATCTGCTAAAGGCTTTGTCCATTTGGCTTAGTTATTTTACTTTGTTATAAGGGAGGGGTCAATGATAGCAGAAGGTTTAACCAGGAAATGATGGTAGTATTTAAAAAAAAATGCATTAATAAAAGATAATTACAAACCTAACCTGTTTTAATAAATAAAGTAAAATGGAGACGGTAAACCCAGATTTATTCACAAGCAACTACTGCCAAACATGTTTCAGAACATAAAGATGGCAGGCTACTCTAGTTCTATGAGCCAAAAATCCCTAAACTGAACAAAGCCAAAACTTGGGCAGAGGGAACAAATAGAACAATATCAATAATGAATACCGATAGAAAAATATTAGATACAATATTCACAAATGGAATAATAAGTCATTCAAAAAAGTAGCCGTCACAACGAAGCAGGTATAGAACTGGAATGTAAAGATGATTTATTGTCAGGAAGATAATAAATCATATAAACAAGAGAAAAAATGCGACCCATAATCTTATTAGATGCAGATTTTTCTGATAAAGTACAACTTTGATAAAATAAGCATTAATTTATGTTAAATATGGGAATAAGATCATTACTTAATATGCATTTTTAAAGTATATATTTGACACTATGAGCTGGTTGGTTGGTTGTTGCCCTTTGTTTTTGAAGAGAACCAAAATGGCATCACTCTGTTGGGGTCAAGGGACAGTGTGTCTGACCGTGGCTGAGCAGACCAATACGAGCTCAGAAGGCCCTACCTCAGTTCGGGCACAAATTATCCACATGAACATTCGGAGTGGAGATGTCTCTAAATTTTTCCATCTCGGGTTTCTTTTGACTATTGCAATTCTGCTTCCCTCATTGAGCACGGCGCCTTCTTGGATGCAGGCGCACCATGCTAGGAGCTCCTTTGCCAGTGTCTCCCAGCTAATTTTGTATGCAATGAAAACGCAGGAGAAGCATTCCCTTTAAGAAACAGGGATGTCCATTCTTGCTGTTATTGTTTGACACTGTTTGGAAATCTTAGCAAAAGCATTAAGGTATACATGAAAAAAGACATTGTAGTAAGTTTTGGAAATGAAGAAGTTAAAATATTTCTATTTGCCCATGAAGTGGTGATACGCTTAGAAAACCTAAGATAATCAACAAAGTCATTAGTACATGTAATAAATTGCTTTGGTAAAGTGGCAGGATATGAGATAAGTTCACATACCACCTCTGTACCATCAAGAATCTAAGAAAACAGATACAGAAGTACCATTTAAAATTGGAGCAAAATGCATCTTATATTTAGGGATTAATGGAGCTACTTTATTTATAATGACAAAAACAGGAAACAAACTGTATGTCCAAAGACTTGAGGAATGGCTAAATAAGTTATGGTACATAAGAGAAATGAAATATTATGGTGCCATTAAAAAAAATGTTAATTCTTTGCATTCCTCAAACAAGACACTCCATCTCTGGACTCCAGGCACAGTGTATTTTACTGGCTGTCTCCTGTGCCAAGAATATTCTCTGACCTCATCTGCCTCCTGGCTTCGTGCAAGTCCCAACTTCTATCCTACCTTCTACAGGAACCCTTTCCCAATCCTTAATTCTAGTGCCTTCCCTCTGAAACTATCTCCAGTTTATCTTGAATATTGCTTATTTGTACATAGGAGACTATCTTCAGTTTATCTTGTATATTGCTTATTTGTACATAGTTGTTTGAATGTTGTCTCTTCCCATTAGACAGTGAGCTCTTTGAGAGCATGGATTGTCTTTTTCCTCTCTTTGTATCTCTAGAGCTTAGCCCAATACCTGGCACATAGTAGGGGCTTAATAAATAATTATTGACTGTCTGACAATCAGGAAATTTGGAAAAACTTTACAAAAGTAAGGCAAATTAAAATCCACCAAATCAGAACTATCGGCATAGTGACTATGATTGTGTCACAAAAAATTAAGCCAAAAATATTGGAACTTCAGGAAGCTAGTTGGTACAGTGGAGAGAGTGCTGAAACTCAAGTCAGGAAGACTCATCTTTTAGCATTCAAATCTGGCTTCAGACATTTACTAGCTGTGTGACCCTGGGCAAGTCATTTAACCCCATTTGTCTCAGTTTTTTCATCTGTAAAATTTACTAGAGAAGGAAATGGCAAACCACCAAGTATCTTTGCCAAGAAAACCCATATGGGATCATAAAGAGTTGAATACAACTAAAATGACTCAAAAACAACAACATGGGGCATTTCAGAAGTCTTGAAAAGGGATGCCTGACCCATGTTTTCTGTGTCGTTTGCTAACTCACTAATTTCTGATTTGGTAAATCCTAAGGATTTTGTTTAAGATTTTATTCCTTATTTTATATGTTTGATTATTTGTCTTTGTTGTTGATTTTTAGATTTCGGTGGTATAAAAATTGTAAAGACTAGTCTTTGATCTTTTCTGCAGCATATTTCTTAGCATTGTCTGAATTGTTCCTCTGCCTTTATCATCATCATCATTGTCATCATCACCTTCTTCTTATCATTGTAATACTTTTTAAGATGATTAGTTTAGTTGAAGCAAAACTAATGCCATTTTTCTTCTTACTAGCCATCTCCACATCATTCTGCCTCTACTCTGGCCATCATTCTCATCTCTTTCCCATTGGAACCTTAGACTCAGCTTCTGGGGTGATGGCCTCTGATAGGTGTGTTCTCTCTTTGTCTTTCACAAAACCAGGCCTTTACACCCACTTCCCAGCCATTTCCACATCCTGCCCCGTATGTATTGCCTTACGCCACTAAAATATAAACTTGAAGGTAGGGATTGTCTTGTTTACTTCTATTTGGATCCCCAGAATTTAGCACAATGCCTGCACTGATAATAAATGCTTTATCATCCATCTAACCATCTATCTAGCTAGCTACATGACTATCATCTATTTATCTATGTATATATGCATCTATTTATTGATCTATCCCCTATTTATTTCCAGGACCCAGTACAGTGTACTGTACATAGTAGGAGTTGAATTTTTTTTTATTTAAAATTTTTAAAAATTTAGTTGAGAATTTTGAAGCCAGGATAAATGGTTTCCAGGATCAGCTTTTATATCGACAGAGCAGACAGCCATTTTTATTTGGTAGGACTTTAAGCGTGACCATAAGGCTTCCCTCTCCTCTACTTCACTGTCTAATATTATAAATATAGACAAGAGAAAAATAGAATTCATGATCATATCAGATGCAGATTTTTCTCATAAAATGCAACATTCATTTTTGTTTAAAAACTGGAATAGTAGGCTCTTTCCTTAACACAATATAAAGAATATTTTTAAAACCACAAGCTAATATCTTATATAATAAGGGAAATATGAAAAGTATTTCCATTAAAAAATAGAGTTGTCTACTCTTGCCTTTATTGTTTGAAATAATTTTAGAAATCTTAGCAATAGCAATAATGCACCCTAGCCCACTTCACCTCAAACTGGTTAATGCCTTAAATTTCACCATTGGGGCTTCACTAGTTTAATCTAAGACCTTGTTATAAAATCCAAATTCCCGTGTAAGGGAAGGAAGGAGGAAGGATGTTACATTTTAAACTGTTTGGGCTTAACATAAATTAGTTTCAGCTCTTTAGGTGGTTTTGATGAGGATAAAGTTAGAAATCATAAGGACATTGGGGTAGCTAGATGTAGGTCAGGGTGGTGGAAAAGAATGTTACTACCAAGGGAGCAGGGGCCCCAGAACAGAGAGGTCTGAGGGAGCCAAAGGCTTTGCCACGAAGGGAGCATCCTGTTGGCTTGTATCCGCTCCCATAGTAGGCTGCACTTGTTCTGTGCTACTGCCCCTTAGGACCTTGGCACTGCACACACAGACTGGGGCTGAGGCCTCATCATGAAGGTTGCCTCAGGGGTGATGTCCAGGTCAGACTCTTGGATGCCTGGGGGTGGGTGGAAAGTGAATCTCTGAAGTAAAGTCACAAAGAATAGAAACATCTCCATCTTGGCTAGACTCTCCCCTACACAAACACGGCGACCTACAAAACAAAACAAAACAAAACAAAAACAACAACAACAACAATGAAAAAAAAACCTCAGGTCTGGGGGTCCTACTGCACTGAGGCTGAATAAATAGCTATCTTGGGGGTGAGAGGGTATGATTTCATAGATGTAGAAAGTTTCCCTTACCCCTTCCCACCCACCCCACCACCAATTCTTGCAGCCCCTAGCATTCTCCAGGGCGTGAGATCAGAGCTTTAATTGGGGTGGGGGGACCATGGCTTTATCCCTGGGTACCAACATCCAGGGCCTCCAGCCCACCAGTCTCACACCCAGATAACAGCTCCGTCTCCTTTCCTCAACCCTAGGCCCACTATTCCCAGGATCCCCTTGCTAGAATCTCTCTTCCAGAACCCACCTCCCCCCACTTCTGTGTCCCTTCTTCCAGGGGTCTACTGTCTGGGCCCTGGAGGCACAGTCTACACTGTCTGAGGGATGGGTCTCCTCCTTCACTTCCAGAATTACTGCCCCAGGGGCATACTATCTTCTGTGCTGTCCACTTGACCCCTTGCCTCTCCACCCTCACCCCGAAATTCTCATTGGATATATGAATTTGTTATAACTCCGTCTGAAATCCCTACCACTGGACTGAGGATGCTTTCCAAAATAAACACACTGGTGGATAGAGCTCTGGCCCTGAAGTCAGGAGGACCTGAGTTCAAATCTGGCCTCAGACCAAACGCTTGACACTTACTAGCTGTGTGACCCTGGGCAAGTCACTTAACCCCAATTGCCTTAAAAAAAAAAATAAACACACTGGTAGAGAGAGAGGAAGCATATAATATAGAGGAATGATCACCCAAATCGAATTCTGGAGACCCGGGTGCTGAAAAATCACTTCACCTCCTGAGCACATAGCCCCATCATGAGGCAGCTGGTGGTGCAGTGGGCAGGGAACTGGTCTTGGGGTCAGCAACACCCAAGTTCAAATCTGGCCTCAGAAACTTACTAGCTGTGGGACCCTGGGCAAGTCACTTCACCTCTGTCTGCCTCAGTTTCCTCAGCTGTAAAATGAGCTGGAGAAGGGAATGGCAAACCATTCCAGTATCTTTGTCAAGAAAACCCCAAATGGGGTCACGAAAAGTCGAAAACAATCAAACAACAACAAAATAGGGATATAAAGAGCACTTACCTCAAAGGTGGTTGATGTGAGGATCAAATGAGATGATACTCGGCGGGTTTTTTTTAAGTGAATAACACAGTGGCACATAGTAGGTTCTATAATGTTTGTTCACTTCCCCTTCCCCCTACTCCAATTTGTGAAATTAGATTGGACTAGATGATCTCTATGACCCCTGCTCACTTTTTGATTTCTCGGGGTGGGGGGCATATAATTGATTGTCCACTGGCACTTTGGCACAAATTAATTGATCAGATAAGTCATTTCAATCGACTATGAGAGAATTGAGGGAATGGGACCAGGTCAGGTCAGTTGGAAGGCAGGTGAAGGTCAGAGCCTGGTGTGATTGGCACAGTGCATAGGGTTAGGGATGTAAGCTCGGGGGGGCCTGGGAATTGGGTGAGGTGGGTCTCAAACAGGGAGGAGGTCCTTAAAAGGGGAGGAAGAAGAAAGAATTCAAAATAAATTTGACCTATTATTTTACAATTCTGCCAACTTAAGATTCTGCTCAGCTCCGGTGCCGTTTCTTCCAGGGAGCCTCCCCGATCCCCCAGTTTTTCCTTGTGCCATGCCATGCATATTCCTCTGCACATTGTATCTTCCTCCAGCCTCCCAGAATGTAAATGTCTCTTTGGCCTGCTTGTGTCTTCAGTATCTTCTAGCCCCATGCTTTATAAACAGCAGGCACTTAATAAATGTTTATTGAATGGAAGTAATTTATTTTAGTGGAAAAAACACTGGCCTAAAAGTCTGAAGACCTGGGTTCTACTCCTGACTCCACTGCTAGCTCTCTTTGTATACTTAGACTTCCTTTATTTCTCTATGCCTCAGTTTCTTCATCCAGAAAATGGAGATAATGGCCACTTACATCACAAGGATAGTGTGAGGAGAGCTGAGAGGGTATCCTCAAGTTCATCTAGTCCAAGCCCTTCATCTTACAGGTGAGGAAACTGAGGCCCAGAGAAGAAAAGTAATTTGTCCTTAGAGTTAGCAAGCAGTCAAGCTGAGATTCAAACCAAAGGTTTTTAATTCCAGAACCAGAATTCTAAAGTATACAGAAGTGTGTTGAAAAGCATAGATGGCCTGGAAAAATGTGAATTGTGATCCTTACCAATGGAGAAGGGAAGGAAAGCTGCCTTCTTCACAAAGTTCCCATCTGCATCCAAGAAGTGGCTGGGGTTGAACTCATTTGGGGTCTCCCACTGAGTCTGATCAAGAAGCACAGAAGTGAGCAGAGGAATTACAGGGGTGCCCTAGAAGAGAGGGGGGGATGGGGAGCATGAATTAATGGAAACACTTTGGATTTAATAATCTATTTTCACATCAATAATAATATTAATTATAGCTAGTATTTTTATATCACTTTAAGGTTTGCAAAGTGCTCTATAGGGTACAGGGCCTGGAGTTAAGAAGACTCATCTTCCTGAGTTCAGATCTGACCTCAGATATTTGCTAGCTGCGTGACCCTGGGCAAGTCACTTAACCCTATTTGCCTTGATGAAACAAGCTAGAGAAGAAAATGGCAAACCACTCCAGTATCTTTGCCAAGAAAACCCCAAATGGGGTCACAAAGAGTCAGGCACACCTGAAAAACACTAAACAACAATAACTACTACTGCAAATATTGTCTCATATGATTGTCATGACAACCCTGGGAGGAAGGTGCTACGATTATCCTATTGTAGATAAAGAAACGGAGGCAGGCAGATTTTAAGTGACTTGTCTCACACTGGCACAGCTAGTAAGTGTTTAAAACTGAATTTCACAATTCTTCCTCACTCCAGGTCCAGTGCTCTATCCACAATGTCATCTAACAGCATCAAATAGTAAAAACAGTGTCAGACTGGAAGTTGCAGAGAAGGTGCCATTCTTCATGGGTAGAGAAAGTTCTCCATAGTAATTCCTCACACCAATAAAATCCTTGGCCCCCAACAAAGCGAACTTAATTTTTTTTTGGTAATCATGTAAAACATTTTCATATTAGTCATTTTGTACAAGAAAGAAAGAAAAGAAAGAGGGAGGAGGGAGGAAAGAAAGAAGGAAGGAAGGAAGGAGGGAAGGAAGGAAGGAAGGAAGGAAGGAAGGAAGGAAGGAAGGAAGGAAGGAAGGAAGGAAGGAAGGAAGGAAGGATACTTCAGTCTGTATGCAGACAACATCAGTTCTTTCTCTGGAGGTGGATAGGATTTTTCATTATGTGTCCTTTGGGATCATTGTATTGCTAAGAATAGGTGAGTCATTCACAGTTCTTTATCGTACAATATTGCTGTTACTGTGTATGATGGTCTCCTGGTTCTGCTTACTTCACTTTGCATCAGTTTGTATAAGACTTTCCAGGCTTTTCTGAAATCATTCTGTTGGTCATTTCCATCACAATCGTGTGCCACAACTTGTTCAGCCATTCCCCAGTTGATGTATTTTTTTTTAACTTTGTATCCTCCAACAGAAGATAAGCTCCTTGAGGCCAGGGAAAATTTTTCATTTTGTCTTTGTGTGCCCAACACCTAGCACAGTGACCCGCACATAAAAAGATATTTAATAAATAATTGTTTGATTAAATTGACTCTTTTATACTCTCATTAATGGCAGCTAGACGGTGCAATGGATAGAGAACAAGACCTGGAGTCACCTTGGGCAAGTCACTTAACCTCAGGTTGCTTCAGTTTCCTCATCTATGAAATAGTAGTAGCACCAACCTCTCAGAGTTGTTGTAAAGATAATATTCATAAAATACTTTGTAAATCTTAAAGTGCTGTATAAATGCTTATTATTATTACCCAAAGCCTGCCTCTCATCTTATTGCTCTTCACGGCCTCAAGATGCTGGCTCTTGACTTCTATGTGATATAAATGCTTAAAGGGCGTAGGATCATAGATCTAAGGCCAGAAAGGTCATCTCGTCCAACCCCATCATTTCAGAGGAAACTGAAACCTAGAGAAAGGAAGTGATTTCCCCAAAGTCACATGATAGGAAGTGTCAGAATTAGAATTTTAACAGAGGTCCTGTCTCCTACTTTTCCCATCCAGGCTCCCTTGATCTCTGGATCGGTTTTCCCAAGATGGATCGTGACAAATAGCTCACCTTACTAGAGACAAGAAGAAGCCTCTTGGAGAGAGGAACTCCTCTTTGTGTTTGGATTCAGAACCTGAAATCTCAAATATTCAATGCCTCTTGTTCCTTGGGGCAGAATAGGCTGCTTTTCCCTGGGGTTGGTTGCTGGCTGCTACTACCTGAGGAAGGCTCTGAGCCCGGAGTAAAGCAGGCAAACTGTGCATACCTTTTGACCCAGCCATACTTCTAATAGTCCTCAATAGATCCCAAAACAGATACTTTCAAAGAGAATCCAATCTCACATTTTTTTTTCTTTTTTTTTGGTGAGGCAATCAGGGTTAAGTGACTTGCCCAGGATCACACAACAAGTAAGTTTCAAGTGTCTGAGGCCAGATTTGAACTCAGTTCCTCCTGACTCCAAGGCCAGAGCTCTGTCTACTGTGTCACCTAGCTGCCCCTGAGAATCAAATCTCAAAATAGTACCAACTAGATCAAAGAAAGCAGAAAAGAATCTAAATGTAAAATATTTATAGCAGCTCTTCTTCTTTTTCCTATTCTTTTTTGTTTTGTTTTGTTTTGTTTTGTTTTTGCGAGGCAATCAGGGTTAAGTGACTTGCCCAGGGTCACATAGCCTATTTTGAACTCAGGTCCTTCAGATTCCAGGCCCAGCACTCTATCCACAGCGCCACCTAGCTGAAAAATTTTAGAACTCTGATCAATGCAATGATCAACTATGAATCCAAAAGGGTGAAGATGAAACATGCCACTAACCTTCTGCCACAGAGGTGATGAACTTAAAATGCTGAAGGAGGAAGACGCTTTTGACTTGGCTAATGTGGAAATTTGTTTCACTGTATTACCAAGCTATGTATTAAGGGTTTTATTTTTCAGGTTTTTTTAAATTTATTTATTCAATGTAGGTAGGAGAAGGGATATTGGGAAGTAAAGATTAATTTTGAAGAAACACTTATTAATTTAAAAAATTTAAAATAAATAGTTTTTTAAAATGTAGCTATTTTACTAGCTGTGTGATCCTGGACAAGTCCCAATTGCCTCACCAAAAAGAAAAAAAAATGTAGCTATCTCACTATTTTATGGTTCCATGGCACCATTAGAAAGGCAGATAATATGGTTACCATTTGTGATTGAATAAAAGTTTGAGGATATAAACGCAAAAGGAGGAGGTAGTTTTTGGTTTTGTCCAAGCTTGTAATTTAATTTGTGTTGGGTAGCTCCCTCTATCCATGCAAATCATCAATTCATTTATAATTTATTGTCTTGGAGAGTTTCCTGGAATGCCTAGTGATTAAATGACTTGCCTGCAGGCACGCAGCTAGTATGTGTCAAAAAACAGGAACTTGAACTCTGCTCAGGCTGACTATAAATCCAGTCCTGAATTCACTACCTACTTCTCAAAAGGGAAATTAGAAGGTCTTGAAGACCATTGGAAACTAACTGTGGGTTGTTTTTTTTTTTTCTCTGATAGCATCAGAAAAATGGAACGGGCATTGAAAAAAATGAGTGCTTTGGGAAGAAACTGGGAAGCTGTCTGAAGCATCTTGCCTTAATCAACAAGCATTTAAGTGCCTGCCCTTGAGATGCTTACATTCTATACCAGGAACAAATGATTTTGAGTCTGGGCTCTTTTGGAGGCTCTCTGGAATCTAACGTGAATAAGGAGAGTCTTCTGTACCCATTGTATATCTGCAAACGTTCATTTGTAACGAGCAAGTCACTCATCAGGCAACAAATTCACAGATGTCTGACTATGCGAGGGATGAAGGATGAGTTTGAAGTGAATGAGACAGAAAATATGGGCCTAGAGGAGCCATTCTTTCTGCACTCCTATGTGTGTGATGCAGTTCAGCCATCTGTCACTGAACAAGTATCGAGGACCTATTGTGTGTCTGCCGCCGTTGTTTAGTCGTTTCAGTCACATCCAACTCTTCATGGCCCCGTTTAGGGTTTTCTTGGCAGAAATACTGGAGTGGTTTGCCATTTCCTTCTCCAGCTCATTTTACAGAAGAGGAAACTGAGGCAGACGGAGGTGAAGTGACTTGCCCAAGTAAGTGTCTGAGGCCAGATTTGAACTCAGGAAGATGAGTCTTCCTGACTCTAGGCCCAGCGTTCTATCCGCTGGGTCACCTAGCTGCCCGTTATGTGTTGTCATGTGCTAAGCTCTGGTAGGGATACAGAGGAAGTACAAAACAGCTTTCTTGTGGTCCACAGCCATGGACTGTCTTGACCAACCATTTCCCAAGTGTATACCCTTGGCTACCAAAAATGTGTGGATGGTTCAACTCAGATCTAGCCTCATGATCAGGAAAATCACGCAAAGGTACATTTCATAGTACGTCAGAAATGTCGTGCACAAATGGGATTAAATGCCCCCAGATGGCAGCATGTCTTTATTCAGTGCGGTACGTAGCCTCTGCTCTACCTTCCCTTCTCCATCCTCACCTTCCTCCTCCTTTTGGGAACTCTTCATTAGTGAAATGAATGGTCCCTGAGTCACCATGGGATACTCCTCTCTCCATTTTCTTCTCCTGACCCACATCCTTGCAAGCTCCCCCATGACCCCTGGTATCTTAGTTCCCCAGACTAATATCTGGCTTAAGATTTCTAGTCTTAAGACTAATTTCTGGCTTAAGATTTTATAGGTTAGACGTGAATCTTAATGTTTTTCACTTGATAATTAATGAATTAAATAATACGTTAGATACTTATTTACCCCAGCACCTAGCCCAGTGCCTATTTTTCAGTCGTGTCCAACTCTATGTGACCTCATTTGGGGTTTTCTTGGCAAAGATGCTAAAGTGGTTTGCCATTTCATTCTCCAGTTCATTTTACAGATAAAGAACTAAGGGTAAAGTGACTTGCCCAGGGTCAAACGGCTAGTAAATGTCTGAGGTCAGATTTGTACTCAGATCCTCCTGATTCCAAGGCCTGTGCTCTATCTACTATGCCACCTAGCTGCCCCAAGCACATAGTAAATGCTTAATAATGATTCCTTGTTGATGTATTCATACTAATAAACATTAAATAGAGACAGATAATGCAAAATTAATTTCTGGTAGACTTTGGAATCAATATAGTAATCAATGAGTGTTTTGGGGGCCCCCTTGAACCCAGCTCTGTTAAATTCTATAATACACCAGCTGGTGTTTGTTTTTTATCACCCAGTTGATTGACTTTCTGGTCAGACCAACATCAACATTATTTTGCTGACATTAAAATTCATTCACATTCTCTCTAAACCTACATACACTGCTGGAAACCTCAGAAAAGGGTAGAAACGGATTCTTCAAGTCTGCTAGGAGATCTTGGTAGTTAAAATGTTTAGAAGCTAATCTACATAGAGACAATCTGGGGGCCCGATGTCAGCCAGTCAGCTAGTCAATCATTCAGTCCGGGTCAGTGAGTCACAAGCATTTATTAGGCGCTTACAATGAGTAAGGGTCTTCCTGTCCCCTGGGCCAAGTTCATCCTCTGGTCTCCTCACCTTTCTCATGAAGCAGATAAAGTCCTTACCAAATAGCCTAAGCCTACGGTCTACAAATATTTGAATAATCTCAAAAAGTCTTTCAAAATGTCTCTGAATTTCACAAAAGCTCAGGTCATTCGAGGCAGTGAAATACAGTAGAAAGAAGGGCTCTAGAATTAGATGACATCGGTCAACTCCCTTAATTTCTCTGAGTCTCAGTTTCCTCATTTGCAAGATGAGGCAGTTAATTGGGCCAGATGGCTTCTGAGGTCCCTTCCAGCTTCAGAGCTATGGTTCTATGATCAACATCAGCTCAATTCTAGAAGGACATAGGGACACACACAAAATTTAACTGTGGGTATTTGTTCCAGCTCATGAGGTTTTCTTATTTGGGCTCTGCTCTGTATGTTTGGAGGTTGACTGGGATGAACTTGATAAAGAGGGTGAGACCAGGTAAAGCAACACTCTGATCCTAATTTATACCCTGCTCCTGAGCACATCCTACTCCTGAATCCTACAATGGGTTTCTTTTAGCATGGGGAATTGAACTGATGCCTTGTATCCAATACTAGTCTACTCTGTGTGTATGTGTGTGTGTTGTTTTTTGTTTGTTTGTTTTGTTTTTTGTTTTGTTTTTTGTTTCATTGGAGTTTTTTTTTTGTTTGTTTTTTGTTTTGTTGGGTTTTTTTAGTGAGGCAATCAGGGTTAAGTGACTTGCCCAGGGTCACACAGCTAGTAAGTGTCAAGTGTCTGGGGCCAGATTTGAACACAGGTCCTCCTGACTCTATCCACTGCGCCACATTGCTGCCCCCAATACTAGTCTACTCTGGTATAAGAAATAGAAGGAGATCCTATAACAGTGAGCAGTATTCTGGGGGCAGGCTGTACCATGCAGGGAAAAAAAAATGAGAAGTAATGGATAAGGTCTATTTGTTTTGGAACTCACCTATGTGAAGGGACAAAGCTGTTACATACCTTTTCTGCTCCCTTCAGATCTCCCATATCCCCTGACCTCTCCCTCTCTACTTAGGACCTCTCTTCATACTTTACACATTGCCTTCTTCTCAGTTCCCATAACTATACCCAGCCCCACTATCGCTTCTGAGCTACAGTCCCACATAACTGACTGCTTCTGGGACGTCTCAAATACAATATGTCTCAAACAGAACTCATTGTCTTTTGTCCCCAAATTCTCCACTCTTCCAAACTTCCTTATCACCCTTGAGAACATAAGCATCCCCCAAAATAGTCAGGCTCACCAATCCTGGCATGATTTTTGACTTGTTCTCACTCACCTCACCTATCCAATCCATTGCAAATGTTGTAATTTCTCCCCTCATGACATCTCTCTTGTCTCTACTCACAGAGCTACCATGCTGGAACAGGCCCTCATCACCTCTCACCTGGACCATTGCAATAGTGGCCAATATTTATATACACTTATTGTGTACCAGACACTATGCTAAGCACTTGACAATTATTATCTGTTTGATCCTCACAATGACCATGGAAGGGAGGTGCTATTGTCATCCCTATTTTACAGATAAGGAAACTGAGGTAAATAACAGTTAAGTGACTCGATCAGAGTCACACAGCTACTAAGGGTCTGAGGCTGAATTTGAACTCAGGTTTTCCTGACTCTAGACCCAGCACTCTTATTCACTGCACCACTTAGCTATTAGAAGGCAATAGCTTTGGTCTCCCTGTCTCAAGCCTTCCCTGATTCTAATCCATTGTCCACTTGAGATACCATAGTGATTTTCTAAAGCAAAAGTTGGTCTGACCATGCCACCCCTTCGTTCCCTCATCAATAAACTCCATTGTCTTACTACTTTCAAGATTAAATATAAAATCCTTTTTTTTTAATTTAAAATTCTTCATAACCTGCCCTCTTCCTGTCTCTGGGATTATACCTTACACTCCATTGTGAACTCTACAATCCAGGTACACTGGTTGACTTACTTGTTGACTTCACTCTCAATCTTTTGACTTCATACTTTCATACCAGTTGTCCTCCATGTTTGGAATGCTTTGCCCTTTCACCTGTGACTCAGTTTCCCTGGATTCCTTCAAGATATAGTTCAAATCCCAACTTCTGCACGAGGCCTTTTTTCAGCTCAGAGTGATTTCTTCTTTGAGATTGCCTTCCAGCCACTTCCTTATCTGGTATGTATCTGGTTATTTACATGTTGTGTCCCCCATTAAAATATGAGCTCCTTGGGCATAGGGTCCCCATTTGGGATCCCCATTTTTTGGGTCTCCATTGCTTAGTATGGTGTCTGACACATTGTAAGCATTTAATTGTTGTTGACTGACTGACAAAATAAGATGGTTAGCATTTATATAGCCTTTTGAAGCTTACAAAGCTCTTTACAATTATCATCTCATTTTATCCTCACAACTCTGGGAGGTAAGAGCTATTATCTTCCTTATATCGTTGTTATTGAGTTGTTTCAGTCTTGTCCTATTTTCTGTGACTCCATTTGGAGTTTCCTTGGCAAAGATACTGGAGTGGTTTGCCATTTCCTTCTCCAGCTCATTTCACAGGTGAGGAAACTGAGACAAATAGGGTTAAGTGACTTGCCTAAGGTCACACAGCTAATAAGTGTCTGAGATTGGATTTGAACTCAGATCTTCCTGACTCCAGAGCCAGTATCCAATGATGTTAATTTACAATAATCTAATCTAATAATCTAATAATGGTAATTTACAAGATATAAATTCTTTGATCAAAACATAAATTAAAGTCATGCTTTCAGGAAAAGTTTACCTTGGGGAGAAAGTACCCTCTGAAATGGGTGTCCACTGATGTGGAATGAGGGACATGGGGAAGAAGAGCAATAAATCTCTGAATTTCATGAAGAACTGCATTGGTGTAAGGCAGTGCCTTTTGGTCTTCATACTCAGGCAGCCTGCTTGCTCCTAGGACTCGGTCCAGCTCGTCTTGTACTTTGGCTAAATGAAAAGATACAAACGGTTTAGTCTGACCTGGTCCATTCTATGCTGTTGCTAAGAGTACCTCCTCTGGTCAAATCCCCGTCCATATAAAGACAGGGGAGATGGAAGCAGAGAACTCCCCTTAGAGAGTGTGTCTGTACTCCAAAGCAGTTGACATAAGCCAGAAATTTAGATAAGTGATCATGTCACTTCCCTAATCAATAAACTCCCCGGGTCCCTATCACCTCCAGAATCAAATAGAAAATGCTCTGTTTGGCATTCAAAACCCTCCATAACCTAGCCCCCTTCTACCTTTCCAGTCTTCTTATACCTTACTCTCTAACATACTCTTGTATCCAGTGACACTGGCTATCCAGAGACTAGGCTGTCTATCTGTGAACATATTATTTCCTTCTAGTAGAATGCTTTTCTAGCACCTAGGACAGTGCTTGGGTCAGATAATATGTTTTACTTTTTTCCTGTTGGATTGAGATGGTTTTTGTTTTCTTTCTTTTTCTTTTTTCTTCTCTCTCTCTGTGTCTCTCTCATTCTGTGTGTGTGGGGGGGGGTGTGGGTGAGAGAGAGAGAGAGAGAGAGAGAGAGAGAGAGAGAGAGAGAGAGAGAGGCACTCACCCTAGGGAGTTAGGTCCCTGGCTCTCAGGGTTTTTGCAAACACTGATAATTCACTAAATAAACAATGCCATTTGGTTGACTACTAGCTCTTAGTAGGGACACCAAGAGGAGCATCTAGAGAAAACCAATTACAGCAGCACAAATTAGCTTATAAATTAGTTCTCTTGAGCTTTGGGCTAACAAGCAACTTGGTGGTAGCCTGAGGTCCTCTAACAAGCCACATAGCAAAGCTTTCCCTCCAGCCAGCTTAGCTAGAAAGAGAAGACACGGCCAGAGCTAGTTGAAACAGAGACTCACCCTGGACCTCTGGGTACTTGGCCATGAGCAGCACAGCCCACTGCAAGGAGGTAGATGTAGTCTCAGTACCAGCCATCACCAGGTCAAGGACAGAGGCGACAATGTTTGCATCCGAGAAATAGGTCTCTCCCTTTGGTTCCTTCAAAAACAAGTGACCTTGGTTAGTGTCACAAGCCACTTCTCCAGGCCATTTCCCTGGGGTGGCAGGTGTTCAGCCCAGTGTTGAAACTTCCCCAACTTCTGCCCGTACTGCCCCCGTGAGTGAGCATGGCCTTGCACTTGGCTTTGTACTCAAGTGTTAGAGATTTGGATCTGTACCAGGAGGGTAAGAAGGCCAAAGGAAGGAAAACACCACAAAGCTTCAGAACAGGCGTATGAACAAAATACTTTGACATTTTATAGGATCATAGTATAGAGCTGGAAAGCAATCCCAAAGCTACCTATTCCATCCCCTCTCATTTTACAGGCAGTTAAATGTGCATAGAGCACTAGATTTAGAGTCAAGAAGAATCAGCTTCAAATCTTGCCTTAGACGCTAGCTGGGCAAGTCACTTAACTCATCCTTGCCTCAGTTTCCTCATCTATCAGATTACAATAGCATCTACCTTCCAGTGTTGTTGCAAGGATCAACTGAGATAATATATGTAAAATGCTGTTTCTATATGCTAGTAATTATTATATTATACATTATATTATTGTATACTACAATGGCTAGTTATTATACACTATAAATGCTAGTAGTTATTGTTGTTGATGTTAATAAAGAAAATGAGGTCCAGGGAGATTGTGACTTGTTTATAGTCACAGAAGTAGTAAACATCAGAGAAGATGGGATTTGAACTGAGGTCCTCTCACTACAATGTTAGTGCTTTTCCCCCTGTGCCATTTTGTGTACAAATAGATGACACAATTTATACAGAAAAAAGCAAACTATATGTAAATGTCATAAAAACACACAGTCTCATATACCTGGAAGTGGCCCTTGAGAAGATCTTACGGGAGACCTATTAGTTAAGTATGAGATCAGACTCCTTTAAAAAGTATAAATTATGGTGCAATGGATAGAGCTCTGACCTTGGAGTCAGGAGGACCTGGGTTCAAATCCAGCCTCAGATGCTTTGATACTTGTTAGCTGTGTGACCCTAGGTAAGTCACTTAACCCTGATTGCCTCACCAAAAAAAAAAGAAAAGTATATACTACTAGAAAAGCCAATGGGAATATAATGGAAGGAAAAATGGACTAAGGAAACCTGTATTCAAATCCTGGTTCTGCCACTGTGTGACCCTGGGCAAGTCATTTCACCCCTTGGGTCTTTAGTTTTCTAGCCTGTAAAATGAGGATTGGACTATGCGACCTTAAAGTCAGCTCTGCTGAAGGGTACAATAGCATGATGAATACCTCACTCTGCTTCTGCATCAGCGCAGCAATGTAGCTCGTGACGTATCCTCCCGGGATGCGCTGTCTACTGGCCACCATGTAGTTCCTTAGTATGACTCTCACTTCTTCTATTTTTACTAAGATTGTTTTGTGGGGTTTGAGGAGCCATCCAAGGAAGGGGTAGAAGTTAAATAACTAGTTTTAAAGGAGAAGAAAAACATGAATAAATCCATGAGGAAGAACCAAAACACAGAGCCCAGGATGCTAAGACATAAAGCCACTAACCATCGATGGGAAATTCTCTTTATGCTGGGATTCAGGGGCTGGAGCAGTAGCTGCCTCCTTTTCCCTAATTCTGCCCTAACCTTCTCCCGCTTCCTCTCTACCCCAAATCTCTGGGTGGTTTTTACAAATGAGGCCGTCTAGGGAGGGACCTGAGCTCTCTGGTTAATTCCTAAAGATCATTAACATCTAGTTAACATCTACTTTGGTGTAAACAGAAGAAATGAAAGAACAAAGAAAAATACGGAGCTTAAAGAGAAAGTAGCCAATTTACAAGATGGCACCCATAGGCATTTGGATGGCAAGGTGCCTTTGGGAGTGATGGAGGAGGCAGAGAGTGACCCTGAATGATCATGAGGCCTTTCCCAAGGTAGCAAAGAGGCACCTGCTAATACCTTCCTGTCTGAGATTCCCTTCCATTTATATTGTATCATCTATGTACCTAGTTATTTATATGTTATCTCCTCCATTAGTTGTGAGCTCCTTGAGGGCAGTGATTATTTTTGCCTTTCTTTGTATCCCTAGCACTTAACACAGTGCCTAGAACATAATAAATACTTAATATTAATATAAGTTGAGTAACTATAATACCTTCCATAGAACTGCTCAAAAAGTATTACTTGAGGGGCAGCTAAGTGGTGCAGTGGATAGAGCTATGGCCTTGGAGCCAGGAGGACCTGAGTTCAAATCTGACCTCAGACAATTGACACTTACTAGCTGTGTGACCCTGGGCATGTCACTTAACCCTGATTGCCTCACCAAAGAGCAAAAAAAAATATTGCTTGGAGAGAGGATCCTGGGAAGATGATGGAGTAGGACAGAAAATTCCAAACTCTCCAGACTTCCTCCACAAATAAGACAAAATAGCACCTCAGGTTGAACAGAGAGTGGTAAAAATAAACAAGAGTTGGGGCAGAACAGTCCCAGGACAACCAGAGAAGATTCTGAGGTTTGGTCCCTGTGAAGTGTAAACACCTCTGGGCTATTTACACTGAAAGAACAAGCCTGGGTTAGGAGGTAGCCTCAGCTCCAGCCACAGGAATATTTACCTCCCGGACAGTGTGGGGAGTTTGAGGTCTGAGCAGGGGACTGAGGGAACCTCTGCTGATAAGGGATGCCAGGCCCAACTGTGCTGCCGGGAAGTGGCCCTGGGTGAGAAGGAATCAACATGTACCCAGTGAGTACAGATGCAGTGGGGCAGGGATGCTGCCAGCTGTGGGCACTTTCAGGAGGGTGGAGTTCTTGGTTTCAGTTTCAGGCCAGAGGGGAGAACTGAAGGAGGATCTGAGGCCAGAGACACCATACCTCATACCCCAGGACTAGAAGTGATTACAATAACAAGCTGCTATAATTTTTTTTAAATGAGCAAGCAAAGGAGAAAGAACCCAACCATAGAAAGTTACTATGGGACTAGAGAAGACCAGTGTTCATCTTCAGAGGAGGATATTGAAGCAAAAAAAAAAAAAAAAAGCCTGTCCTACCCCAAAGAGGAATGTCAAATGGTCACCTGCCCCAAAAGAATTCATAGAAGAACTTTAAAAAGACTTTAAATAAATAAATCGAGAGAGATTGAGGAAATTTAAAAAAAAAATAATAATCCAAGAAAAACAAGATTATGAAACAAAGTCAACCAACTAGAAAAGGAGATCCAGAATCTTAAGGAAGAAAATGACTCCTTGAAAATTAGAATTGGGCAAGGTAATCAAACAAAATATAAAGAATGAAAAAGTAGAAGAGAAAGTGAAACATCTCAGAAGAAAAATAATTGATCTGGAGAACAGATCAAGAACAGAAAACATAAGAATAATTGGACTACCTGAAAGCTACAATCAAAAAAAGAATCTTCTTATGATAATATAAGAAATAATTAAAGAAAATTGTCCTGAAATGTTAGAAGAGGGGAAAGTAGAAATAGAAAAAACCCACAAATCACCCTCTGAAAGAGATCCTATGAGGAAAACCTAGCAGTGGCTATACTAAAAGACTTTAGCTCTTGGAACACTATATGTCAAAGAGTGAAAGAACTGGGGTTTTAGCCAAAAACATCATACCCAGCAATGTTAAGCATAATCCTGATTGAAAAAAAATGGATATTCAATGAATTGTCAGACTTTTAGGATTTTGTTGCAAAAAGACCTGAAATCAATAGAAAATTTGACATAACAAGATCAAAAAAAAAACAAGATCCAAGGTAAACATCAAAGACTAATTATAAGGCACTCAATAAGAACAGACTGTTTACTCTTTATACAAGGAAATATAAATTGTATGTCAAAGATTGTTATTAGTAATTAGGTAATTTGAAAGAAAGATTCAAGTAGGGCTAAGTAGGATGTGAAACTTATAAGTAAATCATGTAGGAAAAGATAAAAAGAGTAATTATCTTATATAAATGAAGTGTGAGAGGAAGAACTGATACAGAGGAATTCTATGGGGGAGGAAGGCTGGTAGTTCTGGAACCCAACTCTCAATGGGAATAGGTTGAAGAGGGAACAATACATATATATCTAGAAGAACATAGAGATCTTCTAAATTCAGAAAGAAATAAAAGGCTAAGGGGATAGGGAGGGGGAGAAGATAAGGGAGGGATTTTAGGGTGGGGGAGAGGATAAGGGAGGGATTTTTGGTGGGGGGATAGGTTAAGTAAAAGAAGTGCAAGGTAGCAGGTAGAAGTAAAGTAGTAAAAGGAGGGCAAGGTAGCAGGTAGAAATCAAGTCAGGAGGGATAGGAAATAAGAGATACACACAAACATAAAATAAAGATCAGGAGTAGAATTTTATTAGGGGAGTAATCATGATCTGTGACAAACTTAAAGCTAAAATAGATTTAATCAAAAGAGAAAAGTAGGGAAACTACACTATATGTCAGTCATATTACTCAGTATTGTTTTAGACTATTTAAAATAACTAGACAGTATAAGGTTGGAATATCACTGTGGTATAGGAAACTGTAAGTTGGTGGACTAAGAAAAATATGGAAAGACTTGGACCTTTGATGGAAGATGTTATCCACCCTCAGAGAAACAAAGGACAAACAAGTATAGTACATACGAATGTATGTATCTATATATTAGTATGATTATAGATATCTAAGTATATGTACATATATGTAACTGCAAGTATGTCTGTGTATATGTATGTAATATACATTTATGTGTATGTGTGTATATTTATGTATATGTATATGTATATATATGCATATATAAATATAACTATATCAGTGCTTAATTGTAGCCTTCTTGTGAAAGGAGGAGGATGGGGAAAAAAAGAACAAAGTAAAAAAGTGCACAGCAGAGAACAAAAGAAAACTTACAAGGAAGCAAAGAAAGGATGGACAAATCAGAACACAATGTATAGTATTTACGATATAGGCTTTCTTGAAATGGAAATTTATTGCTGTATATTTTGAATCCTCTCTTCTGTTCTGCTGTGCACATGGCAATGCTTCTTTTTCTTTTCTTATCGTGCATTCAAGTTTAAGTATTTAAGTTTAAAATACATTATATTTTAAAAAGTATTGCTTGAATGAGAAGGGATGTGGGTCTAGTTTGCAGAGATGGGGGACTATAGCTGAGGAACATTACAT